CTTCAATCTCTCTCCCGTCCTGCCATTAAGATAGATCAGTGGACACCATTCACATATTACTGCATATGTCCGATCCCAGCCGATAGAACATGACTCTCTGTGGCACAGTAAACTCGACTTCAAACCTCGCGCCAGTTTGGGAGCCTCATTAGCTGCTGACCGCCAATAAGCCATAAGTGCCCATTCCAGAGTCCACATTTCTCGAGTATCTGATTGTATTAAATGCCCTCTTTGGCAGCCGTAGTTGATTTAGTTGCGTGTCTGGAGCAAATATAGTAGGGCCTTTCATTGTCGTGGTAGGTTGACAACTACTACAAAACGCCCAGGTATTCAGTTCTAAGTTGGGAAGTTTTTCCCACAAATCACCGATAAGACTGTCTCGTTCTGGATGAGGTCGTTATATTGCCTGCGTGAACACCCTCGGAGTGTTGTTTTTTGCGTACATCCAGACTTTGCTCTCTTTGTCATACCCAAATTTCGCCACTGTACACGGTCTTGCAGACTCACAATTTGGCGAAAGAACTGACCTTTAGGAAACTTGTGGGTTGTTCCGAACTTTGTACAAAATTACGTCGTATTTTATTAGTCCAGGCACTAAATTCCTCCTTGCGTCGTACATTTAAAGGTGAACTAATGTCACAGCACTGTATTGTGTCTTCTTTTGAACTTTCAGAATGCTTATGTGCATTGCGGTTTTCTTTTCGTTAACAACTGGGTTTCCCTCATTAATTTCCGCGTTAACGGTCTTGTCAATGACAATTCTATCAGCGCGAAATTTACTACCAAACCATCTTAGCTCATAGAGTTCTGGTAGCTTTGGCTACTTCATTTGACGCACTTGTGAAATTTTTGGTGGGATTCGAATCCACGGCAGCAAAGGCAATATTTGAATACGACCAACGCTCCAATCGCTTGAGCGACGAGGTCACTGCTCTAATTTTGCCAAAGGCTAAATTTTGTGTCGCCCCATGTGTTTTGTTTCAATCTAACAAGGAGAACAAGGTGCAGGGTCGCGAGCAAAAGGAAGTCTTTATTGTGCCTCCAGTGCGGGTGTTTAAGCAAGGCAAGCGTTATAAGATCACACCAATCAGATTGTGTCCTGGAGCGAGTAGCGACAAACTCCCTTGCAACTAAATGCCAGTAAAGGCTGCATTTTGTGCCGCCCGGATGTCTTGTTTCAATCCAACAAAGAAAACAAAGAGACAAGGTCGCAAGAAAAAGAAATCCTTTATTGCCCCGTCCGGGCGCTGTTAGGTTAAACACATTTGCGTCAGTGTACCCGCCTAGCCTACTTCAAGTTATGGATTCCACCAATTACAATACAGTAAAGTGACTGTCTGGCTTAAAACGTCAGACGTAATACAGTCTTAGGCAGATAGTATTGCCGGCAAAGCTAATATAGACTGGAATGGTCATTTCTGGCTTATTAGTTATGATCAGCCAGTCATGCCCGCCAGTCCCAAGTGGTGCACCACCCGAGGCTCGATCTCGCGACTCTTTTG